GTGGACTCCCAGGCCACCCTTCCCTCTCACCCAGCAGAGGCAGAGAGATGGTCTTCTCTCCAGAGCAGATGTCCTGCCTACACATCAGCATATTAATCACTAAATGGGTACATAAGACCCTTAGTCAAAAGCAAGAAGCATGGTTTTTCTCTCACCTATGCCAGCTCTTTCTGACCTGTCCCTTTCTCTCTCCCCTTCTCTTTCTCTAATAAAGTCTGTTTTAAAACTATGCTGGCCTCTCTGAAATTCATTTCAGTAGTGTGTCAAAGGACCACCGAGTTTTGTGCCACACCCCACCTGACATGCTCTTCAGCCCCCAGACATCTGTATTCATAGACAAACTCCAGGCCTTTTCAAGGTCAAATGCCATGTTGATTGTAGAATTACGTATTCAACACGTTTTCACATGTGTGAAGCAGTGCTATCATTTTTATTAGGGTCCTATTTTTTTTAATGTTTCTAATTAAGTTTTTGAAGACTGTGCTTCTAATCTCTCTTTTCTCTCTCACCAGCCATATGCTATTTTTGGTGCAATTTTGCAAAGCGAGGTAAATTTTAGGAAGAGGTATGTCACATTATAGCAAATAGATATACAAAGCAAATTGACAGAAATGGGTTTTCTACAACAGCAATTACAGCAAATATAAGTTGCTTATCCTCCCTAATTTAAAGACAATGACTCTTAGATTTCAAAAATCCAATAATATACTGTTTATAAGACACATACTCAAAAGACACAAAAAATTAGAAATATTGAAAATAAAAATGAAGAACATTTGCCTGTCAAATAAAAACCTAAGGAATATTGACGGGTTTTACGTTCCTTGTAGTTTTCAGCATGCAAGTCCTGAATATGAGTAGCTAAAAATTTATGTCTAAGTATTTCATTGTTGGTACTATTTTAAATGACACCATTTCTTTGAATTTGGGGTTGTAACTATCCATTGGTAGTGTATGGAAATTGAGGACAAAATTCTGACCTTTTCTCTTTCCCTTACCAAATTTTTTTTTTTTTTTGAGGTGGAGTCTCACTCTGTCGCCCAGACTGGAGTGCAGTGGCTGCTCCCGGCCACGGCAGCCTCGACCTGCTGGGCTCCGGCAATCCTTCCGCCTCAGCCTTCCAGGTAGCCGGAATTACAGGCATGCACTACCAAGCCCGGCTGATTTTTTGATTTATTGTAGAGATGAGGTCTCGCCGCCCAGCCAGTTCTCGAACCCGTGGCCTCAGGCAATCCACTCACCTCAGCCTCCCAAAGGCACGGGATTACAGGCTGAGCCACCGAGCCCACTCCAAATTTTTAACTAAGGGGCCAGGAGAACTTTTTTTTTATTAACACTATACAGTGATTACGTCCCAACCCGACTCTGGCATAACATCACATAGCAGAAGGAAGATCCAAGTATTTTATGACCCTGTAAAGCCTTCTCTTGGGGACTCCCAGATTCCAGGCACCTGTTAAGTCTCACCTGCTCTCTCTGAAGGCTACCATTCATAAGGCTTCATCCACGTATCAAAAAACTTGACTCTCTCCTCATTCTGCTGTCCATTTCCTTTACTGCTTTCAAAATTCCCCAGATAAGAGCCCACTCTTGATATAATTGCCAGTCAGGAAATCTTTGACTCCACTATGACCTACAGGGAAGGGGTCCTGACAGATTGGGGGAGGGAGTGGGGCAGTGACAGATTAGGGAGACAGATTGCTGAGGGGTTGACTGATGGTAACATGTGGGGGGGACGTCAGAGAGAACAGTGAGAGAAGGAACAGATAGAGGCCCCTAGTTGCACCCCAGAGAGTGCGGACGGTCACTTCAACCGCAAATCCACCTGCTAGAAGACCTTGCAGCCCACATTTTGTGAAGGCGTTCATGTGTCAGTTTTGCCTTTCAAGTCCCACTCTGTTTCAGCAAAAAGGAAACCATAGAAGACGCAGGAAGCCAGCCCCCAGGTGCATCCAACACCACACCTGTGTCTAGGTAGGTGCTGTGGATGTAGCCCTCCATGGGGGCAGGAGGCAGAGATCCAGCTGGCTGGGCCTCTGTTCACCTGTGACTCAAGAACACCTGCCCCCTCCACCTGTCAAGGTGGTCAGGCTCTCGGCGGCCTAGAGGCCCATCTGGACAGAGTGAGGTCACATCTGCCCTGCCAGCTGCTGGGTCTTCTAAGGACAGCAGAGCCAGGGCAGCCAAGCAGGCCAGACCCAGCCCCACTGATGCTGGTGGTATGGGGTGTAATTGTTCCGTGGTCGTTGGCTCACTGCAGAAATGCATTTCAGAGCGAATTGCAGAGAGAGGTTTAAAGTACAGATTATTAGAGAGAAAAGAAAAATAAATGGCATGTTCAAGAGAGAATGTGAGTGGCCTTAAGGGAAAGGGCACAGGTTTGCTGTTAGCAGAAAGCACGGTATATTGTCCAAAATGATGCTTAAGCAACCTGTTTCTAAGCTCGGCTTTGATCACAAGTTCCAGTTCTTATCGTTTTATTCCTGAGCTTACTTGGGTCATGAGGAACTTTTGAGTTCGTGGGAAAAGCTGCTCTTTGATTAAATTTCCTCTTAGAGCCCATGCCTCAATGTCCCTCGTGACCCCTGCTGTTCTGTAGCCAGCAGCCCCGTATTCCTAGGTCACACCTGGGTTTCAGTCAGCGTGTGGTTGTTTAAAAGAGTTACAGCTTGATAAGACAGTGCCCAGATGCAGATGCTTGACCATCTGGTTTCATAATTATCTAAGCCTGCCTGTAAGAAACTCATTAGCCCTTTCTTTCTTTCTTTCCTTCCTTCCTTCCTTCCTTTTTCTTTTTCCTTCTTTCTTTCTCTCTCTCTCTCTTTCTTTCTTTCTAGTCAGAGTCTCACTCCGTCACCCAGGCTGGAGTGCAGTGGCACACTCATGGCCACCCCAGCGTTGACCTGCTGGGCTCCAGTGATCCTTCTGCCTCAGCCTTCCAAGTACCCGGAACTACAGTCACACGCTACCACGCCCAGCGAATTTTTGGTTTATTGTAGAGATGAGGTCTTGCCAAGTTCCCCAGGCTGGTCTTGAACCCACGGGCTCAGGCAATCCACTCGCCTCGGCCTCCCAAAGTACTGGGATGACAGGCTGAGCCACCCGGCCCAGCCTCACTAGCTATTTCTAAGCTATGCTGGCTGTCATGCCTCACTGCCTGCTCGGGAGAACTGACCCACTGGGGCCGACATGTCACGCAGACGGCACCCCTCCGCCACTCCTGCCTCCTTTCTCAGCCTGACTGCATGCCGCCTCACGGCTCACGCCTCACTACTGCCCGCTCCAGTCCTTCCTCCTGCCTGGATGCTCTTGCTGAAGCTTGCATTGGCCATGGCACGAGACGGTCCCCCCAGCCTGAGCACCCCAGGTCACTGCCCGACCCAAGCCACGACAGGCCACAACACCCACATCCTCTTGCCTAGGGTTGATGAAAAGATTCCAAACTCTAAAGCATTTTAAAACAGTTTGTTCTGAACCAAAGTTGAGGATGTGGGCCCAGGAATACCCATCCTCAGGAGGTTCTGAGAACATGTGCCCACCATGGTCGAAGGATGGCTTAGTTATATACATTTTGGGGAGGCAGAAGGTACAAGAAACCATCAATGAATACGTGTGGGGTTTTCATCGGTTGGGCCCAGGAAGGAGGGACATTTCCAAATGGGGGGCTTGCAGATCAAAGGTGGATTCAGAGATTTCTTGACTGGTACACTGTAGTTCCTATCTAAGGAATTTTGGAAATCAGTAGAGGAGATGCTTTGTTGGGATAAGAGAGTGGAAAACTCCAGGTTTATCAATATGCAGATAAGTCCTATATGTGGCCTCTATGTGGATGAAGTTCTATACATGGCTATACCGAGTCTGGGAGTCCCCAAGAGATAGCTTTGCAGGACCATAAAATTTTCTGATTTCTTTCTGTTCATTATGTGATGTTATGTCAGAGTCAAGTTAGAAAATAGACTTTTTAGTTAATGGGGTAACAGCATAAAACTGGCGAGGCCTTATCAGGTGTGACCCTCAAGCCTCCTAGTGAGGAATCTGAATAAGAGAAAACAAGGCCAGTTTCAGTCTTCACTAGAGAATTCTTCCCAGGCGGTTTGCACTATTTAGGGTGTATCCTATTTCTCACCCCATCCCCAATCCTCTGTCCAGGGCCCTAAATGTCCCGTCCCCCCAGGTTCAGGAATTAGGGCAGGGGCTGGTGTGGGCCTGTTAAGTTTCCAGAGGAATCTGACACAAAAGGGTTTGGGGGGGCATCTCTCTCTAAGCTCAGTGGGGGGGGGTCAGGTGGGGGTTCAATAGGAGGGTCCCAGGTGCAGCATGCAGAACAGCCCCAGGTGGCAGCAGCAGGACACCCTTCCCTGCTGGGCTAACCGCACCGGCCTGCATGGACACACTCTCCTGCCTGGGGCCATGAACGTCTGTCCTTTGGGCTCCTCATGAGACATTTACATTCCATGGGGAACCCTGTGGAAACAGCTGATGCAAGTGCTCCCTGGGGGCTACATCATCTTTGGGACCCAGGAGTGAGTACAGGTGTGGGCTCTGCCCCGGATGTGCCTGGAGGCTCCTGCCTGGACACTGCTGGGGGCGGGAGCACATGGGGGGGTGCTGAGGGAGCACAAGGACACCCAGCACTTCACGAACACTGCCCGCACCAGTCGCCCTGGCAGACTGAGAGGGAGGCGCTGTCCCTGGCCCTGGGACAGAACGTCCAACTCCAGTGAGGGGACACGGGTCCCTCTGCCAATGGGTACAGGAAGCCGCCTGAGGAAGTGGGATGGCTCCCCACCCCCACCTGTTTCCCTTTGCGGCTTTCTGACCCCACGGGACACTGGGTCGAGCTATTCTGCTGTGGTGGAGGGCGGCCACGAGGCCTTTGGCAGTGCTCCCAGAGGGCACAGGATGTGTGTGGACAGGTCAGGAGTGGGCCTCCCACGGGGGCTGGAGACCACAGGGCACAGGTATAAGGGGTGGCCCAGGTGCACAGTGAGCACACCAGCATGGGCCTGCTCCTGCTAAGCTTGGGTCTGAGCCTTGTCTGCGCCCAGAAGTTCGACCCCCGTGCCATCGTGCAGCAGAACTACAACATGGCCAGGGTGCGTCTGTGGCTGGGCCTTCCGGGGCGGGGGCCAGCCTCTGGAGTACCCATCCTCCTCGACCTGGGAACTTGGACCTGTAACCAGGGCAGCTGCTCTACGGGGAGCCTACCTGTCTTCCCCAGCTGTGACAGCAGCCTGGGAGGGTGGGGGGTGGAGTGACCTGGGGAGGTACTGAGGGGGCAGAGGGGAGACCTGGGGGAGAAGGGAGACTGAGGCAGGAGCAGGGGGACTTGAGGAAACACAAGGGCACTGAGGCGGCAAAGGGGGGACCTGAGAGGGTAGGGGAAAACCTGGGGGAGAAGAGGATGGATCTTGGGGACAGGGGAGACTGAGAGGGTGGGGGGATGAGGGAACGAGGGTAGCAAGGGAGCGAAAGGGCGACTGGGGGGGCAGAAGGGCGCCTGAGAGGTAGGGGGAACCCTAAGAAGGAAGATAGGGCGGTAGGGGACTGAGGGGGTAGAGGGGGAA